ATCTCATCTACTTTGGTCATGTTGTCAGAAGGGACCATTCCTTAGAGAAGGATATTGTGTGTGCTAAAGGTGAGGGTCAGTGAAAAAGGGGAAGACCCTCAATGAAATGGATTGACACAGTGGCTACAATAATGGGCTCAATATAGCAAGTATTGTGAGGATGGTGCATGACCTGGCAGTGTTTCGTTCTGTTGTACATAGGGTTGTTATTAGTCTATTAGTTGTAGTTGGCTCAATGGCACCTAACAATCACAACAACAAGCAGTGTGGGGCTATCAAAGGAGACACTAGTCATACCACAGCCAGACAGCTGCCAGTGTCACAATCAGCTAATCTCTTTTGATATTCAGTAGCAAGAGCATGGTTTATACCCTGACTCTCTCTTCAATTCAGTTTCTTTTTCTTCTCTCTCTCTCTTTTAAACTCTATTGGGATTTTTGTGAAAGTTTACAGAGCAAGTTGGTTTTCCATTCAATGGTTCATACACATTTTGTTTTATGACCTTGACTGCAATCCAATAGAGGTATATTCTTCTCTATAATCCAATATATAAATCAAAGGTGAAAGATAAAGAATCTTAGATCATTAGAAAAAAGTTACACTTAAAAATGAAATAATTTTAGATCTCTCACTATACACACATAACCATATAGTAACTATACTGCATTGTGTGCACATACAAATTCATATGTATTTTTATCTGAAGTCATTTATACCTTCTTAATCCTTATGTGGTTTTTAGACTCTATATCTAATAGCCTGTAAATGGACCCAGTTTACTGAACTTCTTTCACTTTGTTAGCTATTTCCCTTCACCATATGTATTAGTCCTTGCTGTTTGGACATATATGATATAAATAAAAACATTTAACAAAGAATATTTATTCTTTGTGGTAGGCCAGTGATTAAGTGCTCAGCTGCTAAGTGAAAAAGGTTGGTGGTTTGAACCCACCAGAAAGATGTGGCAGTCTGTTTCCATAAAGATTACAGCCTATGGGGAAAGTTCTATCCTGTCCTATAGGTTGTATATGAGTTGGAATCAAATCAGGGCAGTGTGCTTTTGGTTTTGGTAACTGGGATGGATATCAAGCAACTTGCAGAATGAAGCAAATGCTTTAAGAACTGAACCCAGGCATATAATATTGCCAGAACTAGTTCTTCAGGGGCGCTCTGGTAGCATAGTGCCTAAAGCACTTGACTGCTAACCAGAAGGCTGGCAGTTCAAACCCACCAGCCAATCCTCGGAAGGAAGGTTGAGCAATCCACTTCTGTAGTAATACTACCTTGGAAACCCAAGGAGGGGTCACTGTGAGTCAGGGCCCACTCGACAGCAAATAGCAATAACAACAGTTCATCTTCACAGACACTTCTTTCCTACTGCAAACAGACTTACAAAGGAAACACTAAGACTGTGGTTGGCTGCACCAATTAAAAAACTCTGGTTGAAAGGGAAAGCTTTCTCTCAGCATCAAACCCAAGGAAGGGTTCTGAATGGCAATATTTCAATCACATGCCTAGACTGGGGACAAACAGGAGTTGTCCGAGGCATGGGATTTGTGATATGTTTATCTTGGGTTCTCCCTTAAGTAGAATCTGAGTTAATGACTTTTAGGAAAGTAATTTATTGGAGAAGTGGTTTCAAGAAGTATTGCAAAGGCGTGGGGAAATAAAACAGGAGTGGGAATAAAGCATGGCTTAATAAGCAAGTTATTACTGTGGGTAACAGAAGTTTGAACCCACTGGGAACCCTCTCAGAAGTCATGTAGAACATAATTCAGAGGTGCCTCACTAAACTAGAAAGCAGGGGTATATATCCACAAATTGTTGCTCCTTGTGCATACTCCTGCCATGTATGAGAAAAGCCTTACCACTTTAAGCTTTAATGGTTGGTTAACTGGTCTCTCCCTTAGAATTTAAATTCCTTGAGGGCATGTCTTTGTCATGTTTAATTTATCTAGAACCTATACCAAGGTCTGACACATGGTAGGAAATCAATGTTTGTTGAGTCAGTTAATAAAGAATACAATTGTTAGTTTTCCAGAGTACTACTAATATATGCTCGTAAGATGGATGCGTGTTGTATTCAGAGTGGAGTTTGTGCATGGAAAAGAAATCAGGTGCACTATAAAATAAATTTTGAAGTATGAGAATTGCTCCCTAAATCACCAAACTAATGATATTGAGGTATCAAGATAACCCCATTTATTTCTAGAAATATTATACAATTACATTTGTCTTTCTATGTGCTATTTTTGTTAAAATGATGATTATTTTTTAATCTCAAAAATTACTCAAACAAATAAAACAAACAGAATTGAGTTATTACTATGCACATTTATTTGCCTACCAATTTTTCAATAGAAAATGTTCGGTGCTCACAAGGATCAAATTCAACCAACTCAGTCCTACTAGGAAGACAGAAGCATAGCCCTTACTTTTTCTTGCAAAACTATCATGATAGTTGTGGTGTTTTATTATCCCTATAATTTTTAAGAAGCTCACATCACACTAACATGGATTAGATAATCGATTTTGAACAGAAGTTTCAATCATACCAAAATAGTTCACCTGCTGAGCAATCATATAGTATAAATTGAAAAGTATTGGTTAATCCACTTGGTGGTTCTTTAGAGTGAAATTAAATAACATGCATAATTTCATTTTCTGGCATGTTGTCACAGTATTACTCTACCTCTGAAATTTTATCTATTGGCATATTTAAATTATGACAGACCCTATAGATTGATTAAAAACTACTACAGAACCTTCAGACCTTAAGCCTTAAAGCTCTTTTCTTTTGAGCTGATGTAGTCATCATAGACAAATACCAACAACGTCTTCCAGTGAAGACTCCAAATGCTGCATCTGTAAAAAATGTGATGTGCAGTCTTAGAATGCTTTGGAGTTTTAAATTTTAGTAATTGTTAAAATGTAATTTGATCAGAATATTTTTTAAATTTTATAATGGTCTTGATTTAGATCCTATTGTAAATAATAGCTTTTAATATAATCCAGGACATAATTTTTTTAAATACTCCACAGTCAACCTTTTTTTAATTTTTTGAGCAAATTCTGATAAAGTTATAGTCCTTTAGTTTTCCTTCTGCCACAGAGGTTGAATTACTACAGGTAGTATCAAGTAAATATGTAATAAAATATGATTTGCACAAACTTACTCCTTCAGTTTCTTAAATTTAGAAATACACTTTTTATTTTCTTTTATGTATAACTATATGAAGTTTAAAAGTTTGTGAATTATACATATTTCAAATATCTGTTTTTGTTGAAACATAACCAGAAAGGCATAAACACAGGATTCATTGTTTCTTTGTACCACACACCCTACTCCCACATCCATCAAGCTATTCAAATTATTGATTTGCTCAGTCATAATTCTCTTGAAGTTTTAAGTAGAATGATGAAGTCAGAGGGGAAAAAAATGTTCTTATGTACAATGGTGAAATCTAAATTCTCTTAAAAGCTTATTGCTGTGAATGCTAATGTAAATCTTATTACTACTTTGATATGTGATGACAAATTTTATTTATTTTTTTTTTTCTTACTCCAGATGACAGGAAAGGAATTTCACTATATTATATAAATTCCTCAAATGAGTTAGGAAAATCAATTACCAAAAATGATTTGGTAATTTTTTCATTTCCGTGGGAATGTTTTACTAAAAGTAAATAAATATTTATTACTCCCTTGATGATTATAGAAATATTCTGGAAAAAATAGTTAATATAAATCAGGAATTAGAGATAAATTAGCTCCTCTAGTCCATGATTCCTGTGTTGGTTCTCTAGTGCTGCTATAATGGAAATCCCACAAGTGTATGACTTTAACAAACAGGAGTTTACTCTCTTTCAGTTTAGGAAGCTAGATGTCTGAATTCAGAGTATCAGTTCTAGGGAACTGGTGAAAGTCCCTCGACCTTCTGCTTCAGTTCTGCCTCTGATTCCAGGCACACTGGAGCTAGAGGCTTCTTGTAACTCCTGCAGCTGCCGGTTGCTGAGGGTGACAAATCCAAGGTCAGTAAGTGGAATGGTGCTATCCCAAGAACAACCGGCACATACCAGGGCACTGACCCAAGTCCAGGAACAATTCCAAAATCAGCAGGCAACACGATAGGCCACTGGAGGAAATCTATGCTAAATGTAGGATCCAATGTGCCAAAATATAAAGACATTTCCCAAAGCTTTTCCTTACATCCTGGAAATAGGCCATACCCCAAAGACAGCTCCTTAGCTGCTCACAGTAGATTCCACCATGGAGGTGATTACAATTTCATCATGGGAAATAACTACACCTAGCTGCCCAGCCACTCAAAACCATAACCTAGCCAAGTAGACCCACAACTTTAGCTACCATAGATCACAACCAATAAATTTAAGTATACTATCGTCATATGTGAATCAAAAAGCCAGATATACCTCTGGTTTCAGGTATAGATGATTTTAGGGACTCCAGTAATGTCACCAGATTTTCCCATTCTCTATTTCGTAGATGAGTTCTTTCCAGTGGGATAAAATAGCAAGAGTAACATTTTAGTAGTTTAATCGTTTTACCTGATAGAAGTAATGCTTCTATATAGCGATGAGGGAAAAGTCACATCGAAGTATTTGATTACTTTAGATTGGATCTGTCTCCATCTCTCAACTGCTTTCATTAGGACCAGAGAATATGACCAAAGGGGTGGGATTAACCTCACTAATACTATAGACAAGATTTCACAAAAAAAGCCAAATTGTTACCAAAAAAGAGAGAATTTCTTGGAAGGCAGAAAAGAGCCAAAAAGTTGCAAAGCCTCCATCTGTTTTGCCCTTCCCCAGACACTATTTAAGTTACCTTTTTTCATTATTTCCCTAAAGTGTTTGGATACTTAGATTTCCCAATATAGAAAAATTCTTTCTCACTTATTATTCTCAAGGGACAAGTGACCCATAACTGTCAAAATATAAATAAATAAATAAAATATTAAAACATATATATTCTCTTACCTTCTGTACAAACACAATAATGATCTCCATCAAACAGAGTCAAGCATGTTGAGTTGTTTCTGCAAGGATCATTGAGTGGATCACAGAAATTATAGCGTTGATGGCAGAATTGTCCAGAGTAAAAGGGTGGGCAGAGACATACAAAATGCCCAGGAATGGTAGATTCATGACAAAGTGCTCCATTCATGCATGGATCAGAATCACATTCATTTATTTCTTCACTACAATTTTGTCCAGTCCATCCAGAGGTACATTCACAGCTGAAATAAAATTTTAAGAAATTTTTGTTAAAAGGATTTAAGAAATGTGAATAATATTTATTTAAGTTTATCCTTCACATTTTCAATTAAATTACTACATTCACTGTGGTAGTTTTAATTTTATTTTATTTATAAGAGGAGCAACAAACAATACATAGTTTAAACATTGTCAGCCTAATTTCCTGGTATGATTTAATGTACACTAATGTGAAATGGCTCGGAAGGAAGGTTGGGCAATCCTACTTCCGTAGTGATACTGCCTCGGAAACCCAAGGAGGGGTCGCTGTGAGTCGGGGCCGACTCGACGGCACATAACAACAACAACAACAATGTGAAATGGACTTCATTGGAAGATTGGGCAATCTACTTTTGTAGTGATACTGCCTCAGAAACCCAAGGAGGGGTTGCTATGAGTTGGATCCAACTCTACAGCAGTGAGTTTGGTTTTTGGCATTTTGACTATAAAAGCACTTAAATATCTGGTAAATTTCTAACATAAGTTGACCACTGGAGTGTAGGAATACAGGGTTATCAATTTAAAATATTGAATTGAATTATCAATTCAATATTACTTCCCAATTATTTCTTTAAAACAGTTTTTTGCAGATGGGGCCACTATTTATAAGTCTAAAATAATAATTAATTCATTACCTTTAACAACATGCTTAGTGGCATAGTACCTACAGCATTTGACTGCTAACCAGAAGGCTGGTGGTTCAAACCCACCAGCCACTCCTCAGAAAGAAGACTGGGCAATCTATGTCCATAGAGATACCATCTCAGAAACCCAAGGAAGGATAGCTATGAGTTGGGACTGACTTGACAGCAGTGAATTTGGTTTGGTTAGCAACATATAACATCTTTAATTATTATTTAACTAGGTGCTTCTTAATAAGGTTAAATATCTTTTTTTGCTGTTTAAATATTCAAGATACATTTTAAAAATCATATTTTGTAATACAATTTGAATGAAATGGGAGAATTTAAGAAAAAGCAAATGAATGAAGAATAAATTATTCAGATCTTGGATGTGCATCAGTCATCCAGTGTCTGCATTTACCTTGGGATTTCTTGCTTCAAATAGCATGTTAGTCAAGCATTTTCCATTGAACTAGTCCAGTTCAGCTCTCAACAGTGAAACAATTCTGACAGAGCAACAGGAGATGATTTTCCACATAAAAGCAAAAACCTAACCCACTGCCATGAAGTTGATTTCAACTCATAGTTACCCTTATTGTGTTTCCAACATGGTTAATCTTTACAGAAGTAGATTGCTCCATCTTCTTTCTGCAGAGTGTCTGGTGAGTTTGAGCTGCCAACCTTCTGGTTAGCTGAGAAATGCCTTAGGTACTGTGCCACCAGACCTCCTTCTTCCACCTAAAATAGTATCTAAATAAGGGATAAAGACTGGTTATAATTAAACCTGCAGATCCAAAATACATGTGAGTTTTGTTCATCAGTTGGTGGTGTGATAGCCAATTATAAATTGTGGGATCATGATGGGGACTTCTGTGAGTCTGCAGATAAAGCATAGCCCCAAATTTTAAATAATTGTGATATCAAACAAGTAACTAACCATGAAAAAAGTTACAGGAGAATTTTAGAATTATTACAGAAAAATAAATACTTTACTGAAAGATTTTTAAGATAACTTGAAGTCCTTTCACTTGCTTCGTGATAAGTAATATTTTGCCAAAATAAAAGTAAAGAAAAGAAAGGAAGGAAGGATGGATATAGAAGGTAACAATATTGTGAAAAGAGATAGCTGAATGAATGACTTGCCCAATAGTTTAAATGAATTTTAAACAGATCTAATAGCCATCAAAACAAACAATAAAATCAATAGGGAACAAGACCATTTTAGCCATACTGGACAATGAAATATTTGCTAATTAAAACACATTAAATAGATCTTCACTTTTTCTTCAATGTGTATAGTGAAGAAAATATATACAATAGTTAATGTTAATAAAATTGAGGATTAAAAAGGAACAGAATCACATTTATCATCAAGAATATTTGAAGATCTACTTTGAAATACAACTCTGTCAATTCTAGGATAATATGCATACCACTACAAGGAAGATCAGTCAATATGATTATTATTCAAATTTACACATCAACCACTAATGAAAGAAGCAAAAATTGAAGACTTTTATCAACTTCTGTACTCTGAAATTGATCAAACACACAGTCAAGATGCATCAATAGTTACTGGTGATTGGAATGCAAAAATTGGAAATAAAAAGGAAGGATCCCTAGTTGGAAAATATAGCTTTGGTGATAGAAACAATGCTGGAGTTTGCACGATAGAATTTTTGAAGACCAACAACCTATTTATTGGAAATATCCTTTTTTCCTTCAACAGCTTACATGGTGACTATACAAGTGAACTTCCCTAAATGGAATACACAAGAATCAAACTTTTCTTCACTATACACATTGAGGGAGCTCTGGTGGCATAGTGACTAAGGCATTTGACTACTAACCAGAAGGCTGGTGGTTCAAACCCACCAGCCACTCCTTGGAAGAAAGGCTGGGCAATTTACTTTCATAGTGATATCATCTGGGAAACCCAAGAAGTGGTTGCTGTGATTTGGATCCTACTCAACAGCAGTGATTTTTTTTTTTTTTTTAATACACATTTATATGAGATGATTAAGTATTGTTGAGCAATATGTATCTGTTTGAACAAACCTTGAATATGTATACAGACTTTTGGCCATAAATCTATAAATACAAATCTAATAACTCACATAATTTAAAAGGGAATTTTGTCTTATTAACTTTGTTCACTTTTATTTCTTATACCCATTACAAATATGTAAAAAAAAAATTCCTAGCAAATTTGGTATGAAAAATAATAAGACTTAGTAATAAATATTATTACTATATCCGTGGAGAAGGATATCAAACTTGGTAAAGTGGAGAATCAACAAAAAAGAGGAAGGCCCTTGACAAGATGGATTGACACAGTGGCTGTGACAATGGGCTCATGTATAGCAGGGATAGTGAAGCTGGCACAGGAACAGGCAGTATTTCATTCTGTTGTACATGGGATCTCTATAAGTTGGAGCTGAGTCAACAGCACCTAACAACAACAACAACAACAACATATTTTTAGCTTATTGAAAATTGGAGATGTAGAAGAAAGAAGAAGTCTAAATAAGGATTGCCTAAATAAATCACCTACTATTTTATTCCTTTATTTATTTATTTATTTCATTCATTTAGTTATATCACAAGGTGTACTATTACCTGGAATATAGTTTGGAATCAATAGGCTTAAAATTTTCCTCTCTGTTAAAATGTAAAATTAATTTATGTAACATATAGGTCCTCACAACTGGATCAAATAGCAACATCATGATAAACAGAAAAGATTGAAGTTATCCAGAATTTCATTTTACTTAGTGCTACAATCAAGGCACATATTAGTAGCAGCCAAGAAATCAAAAACTGTATTGCATTGGGCAAATGTGCTGAAAAAAAAAAAATACTAAGGAAAATTATATCACTCTGAAGACTAAGGTTCACATGACCAAGCCATGGTATTTTCAATTGCCTCCTATAAATGGAAAGTTGAAAAATGAATAAGGAAGACCAGAGAAGAATTGATGACTTTGAATTATGATGTTGGAGAAGAATATTGAATATACTATGGACTGCCAGAAGAAAAAAAAAAATATCTGTCATAAAAGTGCAGCTAGAAATCTCCTTACAAGGAAGGAGGGCAAGACTTTGTCTCTTGTATTTTGGCCATGCTATCAGGAAGGACCAATCTCTGGAGAAGGACATCATACATGTTATAAAGTATAGGGTCAGAGAAAACAAAAGAAGTCCCTCAACAAGGTGGATTGGCACAGTGGCTGCAATAATTGGCTCAAATATGGCAACAATTGTGAGAATGGTTGAGGACAGGACACAGGGTCAATATGAGTTGGATCCAATCCTATAGTACTTAAGAACAACATATAGCATACTTTCTGTTTAATGTGTGACATGTTCTTTGATATTATGTAGAACCTTAGAATCTTTGAGTAGGAAGAAGCAAATAAAAAAGGACCCTGTGAGGCAGATTTATGCAAGTATTTAATCAGATAGAAAATAAATCTTTCTTTTCCTAGTTGCTTTTATTTTATTTTTTGTTTTAAGAGGGTGAAGAAAAGATTATAGAGTACATATTCTATATAAACTCAAGAATTTTTATTTTAATATTAAAATGTAATAGTAATTTATCTACTCTTCATTCTATTGAGTCTCATTTTTTTTTTCTCTCCCAAGAAATAAATACTTTCTTTGTAATTTGGGACTACAACTTGCAGTATGGATTACACCTCAGCATAAAACAGAAATCTTCACAACTAGACCAACAAGCAACATCATGATAAATGGAAAAAAGATTAAAGTTGTCAGTGAATTTATTTTAGTTGGATTCACAACCAACACCCATGGAAGCAGAAGTCAAGAAATCAAATGACCTATCTGTGGTACTTAAGTTTGTATGTCAACTTGGCTAGGCCTGGTTGAGTGGCTGTATAGCTGGATGTAGTATACCCGACAATGAGACTGATAATCAACTCTATGGTGGAATCAACTGTGAGCAGCTGAGTTGCTGCCTTAGGGATCTGGTCTGCTTCCTGTATATAAGCAGAAGCTTTGGGGAACAGTCTCTAGCTTATGGCATGCTTGGACCCTGCATGTAGCCATGTTCATCATGTTCATCAGCCTGCCATGCTCTGCTGACCTAGGGACTTACAATGGACTTGAATTAAGGGCCTGCCATGTGGTTTGGTAACATTGGGACTATGCCTTTTTACTTGTCAACCTTGGGCTTGGGAGCCTCAGCAGCCAGCAGCTGTCTGAGTGAAGAAAAGCCTCTAGCTTCAGTGGGCCAGGAGCTGGAGGCAGAGCTGAAATCCAAGGCTGAGGAGTTTTCATCCAGCCCCTAGAGCATGGCACTTTGAACTTGGACTTAAAGCCTCCAAACTGTAAGAGAA